CTCTCTCTCTCTTTCTCTCTATTCTTGTTATTTTTCCCCACCATGCCGTCATTCTTTCAACACTTTCGCAAACTAGTTGCTACGCATGCAAACATCTCATCCCGAACGAAGCTTTCTCGGCCGCTGCTTCCCCCTTTCTGACACAATCAGTCGGCAGCACACGGTACTGGAAGCGCAGCAAGGCACCGCGGCGCGATCGGCACGGCGCCTTTCTGATTTACCCCACGCCATTACCTCTGGAGCTGATTTGCCGAGCGGGTGGCCGCCCCGATCGCGTCAGTCTGGTGTGCTCGAGCCGACGTTCTCTCGGCCTGCCGCCCGCCGTTGCGTCGGCTGGCTGCGACAGCTCCGAGGGAGGAAAGAGGAGGGAGGGAGGGAGGAGAGAGCTGTTACGCTAATCAGTCTCGTAAATGAATTAGTCAGCTTCTGCTGACATAGGCGCGATCCTATTTTGTATCCAAAAGCAGCAAAATCGTTCTAAACGGTTTGGCATCAAAGGGATAGTTTATTTGAATCGTGCTCTGTCATGTTTTTGAACATTTTAATTTTGATATTGCCTCAACCATATATGTAATAAGAAACTGCAACTGGTTATTTATAAATTTGCCTTCTCTTTTATATGTAAACAGCCTAGCAATGCCTTACATTAACATATTTTGCATCGTAGAGACATTATATTTTGTACCACATTAATACTTTGGTTGGCACATATCAATGACATGGCTGATGCGGCTAATGCACTCTTCATCGCCTCGTCAGCCTTTCGTGCGAGCTAAGAAGGGTGTTAGCGCTAATGGAGTCTTGACAGACTGCCTCAGAACCAACACAAAAACGATCGAAAATAATAATGAAGCACTAATGACATGTTCATAACGCATGCATCCGAGTTTTTAACTTCTATCCAATGATTGACTCAGCGAGGAGCCGGGCCTTTATCGATGGCACTCTGTTATTTTCACCCGCGTACAATCAAGACGCTCAGCTGGGGCAATCTCAGGGCGAACACAATGCCGGGACCCATCCCGCTGACGACTGTCATGTTCTCGCATTGTCGGCCTGTCACGCTGTCACGCAGATGCTGACAGCTATCCGGGTGGCCGCTATCCGACTCTTGTATGTGACAGACCGTCAGCGGCACCAAAGAGCAGCGGCCCGGCGTCTGGCAAACGTCCTGTTTTTGCAGACCAAACGTCGGGGAGTTTTCACCGGCGACTGTATGGGCCAAGAGCCGTTCAATTCCTGGCGCAGAAGCACGCATAACTCGCCGGAATTAAACGGCTGAGCGATATTGTGTACGCGTTTGGGTTAAATACGGCTCGTTAAGCCACTGCGACTGGAATTGTTAAAGCGAGAGCGGCTGCCGTCCAATGCCTCCTCGGGCTGTTAGCCAGTCGGAATATTGACAGAGGAGAGAGCCGGCGCTCGTGGCCGGTGTGTGGGTGTAGGAACTGTTGGAGCCGTGCGCAGCCACGTGGGATACGAGTGAAATACACCCGGCTATCAGTCTCTAAAGGTGCGCCGCTCCAGCTGCAACCGCGTCTGGAACTCTGGAACTCTGGGTGTCTTGCCGACCCAGTGGGATGTCTGAGGGAATGATAAACGCTTATGAACGTGCCTTTAATAAGGCTGGAATGGAGGGCCAAAACTAAAACTCGTTTCTATGTAGATCTGGAATGTGGTCTCGAAACATGCTGCGATTTATAGTGGTGAGATAGGTATTGGCTCCCGCACCTGGCCTTAGATCCTGGATCTGATCCAGACCGAAAGAATTCGGCCCGGCGAGGCTGGCTGGATTAGTTAAATCGGTCTACCTGATCGTCCCGACCATGCACGCGCCATTGGATTTGGTTAGACGAAGGCTTCGTCTACGAAGTGAGGCTCCTGGTTTCGATATTTTCTGGCCGTAAATCAGGCCGGTTTCCCGGCTCGGAATTGGCCCGCCGGGTCCACTGCGTCAGCCTGTCAAATGCGCCGCCCCGCCATCGCTGCCAGCTGACACGCGCCGGCACTGTCGCGGCGCAGCGGCGGAAATGCGCCTCTTATAAACTGCTGAGCCCTGCATAATCCAAGAATACGATCCACCGAAGACGTACTGCTGGAAGTCGTTTGGAAAATGGCTCCAGCCCTATGAACAATGGCGGCCCTCAGACGGCTGAAATCGGACTGTTGGTTGATCATGAGGGAGCTAGCTGTTCGATCGTCTGATACAGAGCCGTTGGCCTGTAAATGCTGACTTTCGGCAGCCGCGCGGTTCATCACACTGCGTAGTCTTAGTTCCAGTCATGACACGGTGATGGTCATGCATGCTAGGCATGCTTATGATGATGAACGAATCCATATTCACTACCTTAATCGACCTGTCGTCACTGCTGGATGGTCTTGGACAGGTGAAAATAATGAATCTAACTTGCACTGGTATTAAAAGAATATTGGTATGCACAGAAAAAAAAGTTTTGATTTTGTCATATGTATCATTATAGAACGCTTGTGTATACGCCATGCACTAGAACCTCAGACATACCTACACTTCAAATGCCACTATCTGTCCCATGGACGCCACGATTCCCCATTCTCCACGGTCAGTTTGTATCAATTTCTCCCGGGTCCAGCTGTGCACGTTATGGTGCGGCTCTCACAGCGCGCTGCTGGACTTCTGTGCGTCATTAGCAGCTCGAGCTCACCCGCGCGGGGTGCCGGCGCGGCGGCGGCGGCGGCGGCAGCAGCAGCCCGGCGCGGAGCGGGCGGCGGTGGCGGCGGCGGCAGCGGCGGCGGCAGCAGCCCGCTCGCCACTACCCGCATGTCGAGCACCTGTCTCTTTCTGCACTCGGAGGGGCACGATTAACCGCCCTGGACGGGGCCAAAGATAACCGAGTGAGCGCGGCCCAGCTCAGACGAAATCGAGGGATTCTGAGTCGGACTTAACGCTCTGCAACCAGCGATTGAGGCTCATTGTGTGGCTTGATGATACTCTGCCGAAGATGTTTCGCTAATGAGTGATTTGTTTGAAATGTGTTTTTCGTCCTTAAGTTCTCGCTTGCACAATAAACGTATAACACTTCATCTCAATCAGATAAGTGAATTAATAGAGAGGGAGCTGTCCATGGGTTAACTTATCCAATGTACATGTTGGCGAGATAGGGTAGTAAGTGGAGTGGCTTTATTCCAATAAGGAAGAGATCAAATTTTAAAGCGAATATTCATCAACGTTTCCTGTAATAATAATGAGGATAAATTTGACTGTGCGGGCTGGAGCCTGTTTAAATTCAAATATAGTGTGACCGTCCATTAGTTTATTTATCAGGGTCAGGTTTGTCACAGCCAAGGTGTCGTAACGGGGCATAAACTGATTATATTTCATTTTTACTGCTGAAGTTTCTACTTCAAATTTGACAAGTACACTACCAGCTACCTACGTATGAAATACGATTGATCCTAAAATGTTATTCGCTGTTTGTGTGGCATAAAAGCCAGCTGAAAATTGCTTCCCACTGCTATCTTTAAACATGAGAGAGTTCTGGGTGGGCGGTCATGTCGCCACCAATTTCCGTCGGCTGGCATTTATTGTCGTGTGTTTCCTGGTTGTCTGTTTATTCTGCCGCCTATTTGCCGGGTCATCAGTTAGTGGAGGCTGTTAACCTGGCCGCCGGTTGGACGCCCGGCAGGTATTTGCGCGCGCTCCTGCCAGGCTGTTGTTCCGTGCCAGTTGTAAATGTCACACCACTCGGACAGTTATCTTTACTGAGGGTTAATTACGACTACGGCACTTGCGGCATGCTTGTTGCATATTCTCATATATGTGAGTTGCAATATTTTTTAAAGGCTGAACAAGCACTCTCATGTCCTCTGATCTTGGAGGAATTTTAATATTTTGCTTCATTTCAAATAGCTGTCTGCGTTGTTCGCATATTGCTGTGTGTGTGTGTGTGTGCTTTTTTTGTCGGACCGTGAATTAACCGTCCCATTGTCTGATTACCCATATTTAGACTGTTCAACCGGGTCCTCATCATCAACTGTTCATCATTCTCAAACATTACCAATGCCCTACAACGCTCCATCGTCCCACCGTTCCATCATTTCGCCGCCGTTCACATCGTCTAACGATTCCATCTCCAACCCGACGTTCCAACATCCCTCCATCCCACCTTGGTCCATCCTTCCTCTCTGCACTATCATCTATCGACACAAGTCTCTACCGAGCACCGCTGACTCACCAGGCTTCTCCTTGGTCCACGTCTTAGGTCCGGCTGGTCCGTGTACTGGTCTGTTCTCACAGTCACCCCAGCACGGGTGACGGGACAAGACCTTGTACCTGCCGATGGACATGACCGTTCAGCCTCAGCGACCCACACTGTACACACGTGTCCCGAACAGATCGTGTATGTACTCAGACGGTCTTTGCACATGACCTCACCGCTGTGTTGTCGTTTCTCCACAGACACTCGTCTCCCTGTTCGGGTACGGTATGACGACCCGTCGGAGGACAGTGCTGGATTCGAGGCCTATCAGGTGAGCTGACGGGAATGGGATGGGAATGAAATTGGGATAGGACTGGGAGCAAAACGGGAGACGATGGCAGACGGGAGTTAGGACCGTCGAGGGGACGGGAGATGGGAGTCGAGATGGGAGACGAAAGAGGGGAGACGGGAAACGTGGGACAGGAGACGGAGACTGGAGACGAGACCGTCAAGAGACACGGGACGGGACGGGACGGGACGAGACGAGACGAGACGAGACGGGACGAGACGAGACGAGACGAGACGAGACGAGACGAGACGAGACGAGACGAGACGAGACGAGACGAGACGAGACGAGACGAGACGGGGCAAGGGATTGCATACGGGACGGGAGACAAGAGACGGTAGACGGGACGGGACGGGATGGGAGACGGGGAAGGAGAAGGGACGGGAGACGGGACGGGACGGGACGGGACGAGACGGGGCAAGGGATTGCATACGGGACGGGAGACAAGAGACGGTAGACGGGATGGGACGGGAGACGGGACGGAGAACGGACGGGAGACGGGACGGGACGGGACGGGAGACCAGTCCCGAACTGCGTCCAGTCTGAGCTGCATTAGCGAAGCCTCTCATCCTTGACTTACACATGAGTAAGCGTGGGGAGAAGGATCTGACGTTTTCCGCCACCCGTTTTCAGCAGAAAGTGCTCTATAAGCTTTGTCTCCCGCCAGATATAGATTAGACTACTAAGTAGGAATAATAAATTGCTTCTGTCTAAGTACATAGATCCATATTCGACGAATGATTATATCAAATCGTCCGTAAAATCGCACTAATTAAGGAATTTATGAGCTGGATCGCATTATTCAGCCTCGTTTGACAAGTTGTAAGCCACTTACGTGTTATCTTGATTCTTAATTGTTGGACTTAGGAGATCTTGGAATGTTAAAGACTGGTAGCACATTCAGGGGATTCTTATTATGAATGTTTAGAATCGGCATTGGAGATTAGAGTATGCAGCACTGAAAGACACATGTAACGTAAAGTGATTGGTATTATTAATTGCACTTGCAGCCTGCCAAGCTTATTAAATGTTTATTTATTGAACGTTGCCCGCCAGTTCAGTCCACTGAGGTGCTTCCATAAACACTTGTGTGTATGTTTTTTGTCCATTTATGTTCACGGAAAACATCATCAAGTGACCTTATTTCTATAATGTCCACAGACCGCTGCATGGTCAAGGACCATCTATTACCCATTACCCATTCTAGGCTGCTGAGTTGCTCACTTATTGTATAAAATATATCCTGTATTTCTCAGAAAACTAGGCTCGTCTAGCGAATACGAATACAGGCTCAGTAGACGACTGCGCCTCATTTTTTCACACCTCGCTAGTGCACCTATTTACTACAGTGGGGCCCAGACCATTTATCTGGCCATCATAAGGCGCACTTTGAGGACCGGGCCGCCTCGTGAATTAGCTCATCCGACAGCCGACATCAGCCGGGGAACATCACTCTTAGGACATGATAAATGGAGCCGGGGACGCTCCGAGTATGTCATAACACACCATAACACACACCTTTACGCCGAAGTCGCCGGCCGCTCAACGGCGAGCGCGTCGTAAGATAAATGGTTCGCTTTCATGAAGAGGGAAGATATATCATGGCATCAGGAAGGCATGTTCGCGAAGTGGGTTTTCGGCTTTAATGGTTGATCATGGCAGGAGTCGCGCACTTTGGAAAATTTGATAACATAGGTATTTGCTCTTGTTGGAGCATGGATTCGTTGTTCTTCAAAATTTATCTCCCGCGCTCACTTTATCTGTGAATGCATACGGGCGATGCAAGGAATAAATATGATGCTTTGTTCGATTGTGATAAATCCAATGATCATTATCATATCAATTCGATTCTTTTTCATTTTCAGTAATCCCAACGAGTACATGACACCCTTCTGCAATTTTCATAGCAAGTATCGAATTCATATATAAAAAATAGTCCAGCACCCATCGCTGATATCGACGCTGGGCCATCACCACGCTTTTTTTAGTTTAGCCTTCCAGGCGGTGGGGGGGACATTTTTTTGCCCCCCCCCCCTTTAGTTTTTTCGATATATCTCGAGAACCGCTGCGCCGATCGTCACCAAACTTTCAGTACCCTCCCGGGAGCAGCTAGCGCACATGGTGACCAAAAATTTTTCCAAAGGCTATGATAGGTTGGCCGCTAATGACGTCAGAGTGACGTCATTTTTGCCATTTTCGACCAAAAAAAAAAGGTTTCGCGGGAAGAGATGTCAGGCCTACAGCTTTAGAGATACAGAAAAATGTTTCAGACATAAAAGGTGTGGAATTAAGAGGGCTACAAAACTGCTATTTCGGTTTTTCGAATTTTTTGGATTTTGACCCCCAAAAATCAAAAAATAGATTTTTTGAATATAATAGCCAAAAAATCCAAAAAGTTTTTTGAATTTCGAAAAAACGGAATATATGTGATAGCCCCTACCGCCTTCTATCTACATACCAAATTTGAGATCGATACCTCTTTTTTTTGGCCAAGTTATAGCGAAAAAACTGTTCAAAATTGATGACGTCAAATTTTCAAACTCAATTTTTAGCAATTCTAGACCTCGTAGCGCAAAACAAAGACCACCATTAGACTCCCCGTGACGAGCTGCATCGAATCGATACCCATTTTATGCAAAAATATCAACTTTGAAATTTGACCTTTTTTGACCTGACCTTGACCTGACCTCCACCAGAAAGTGACCTAAACCGTACCTGATGGTCTTATAGCCAACACCATTGAGTTGGAAATGAAAAACTGGCCATAAAACATGCATCGCATAACCTTAGTAAAGCTGGGCTCATTTGGTGACCCTTGGTGACCTTTGGTGACCTGACCTGTGACCTGACCTGGTATGACCAGTGACCTCTAATAGCAACATATGTACTTGACAACTGACGCCTTATCGCTGATTTTCGACAAAATGCGTTTTACTCGGTGTTATAGCGCTTTCCCTAGAAGCCCCGTGAACGGTGAAAAATTTTATCTTTGACCTGACCTTTGACGTCATCGGTGACCCCGAGGTCAATGAAATTTGGTTTCCTTCGACAAATTTGACAGGGCTATCGAACGCCGTTTGAATTTTCCGGATCCGTCCAGTAGTTTCGGAGATACGGGGGGGGGGCAAAAAAGTGCCCCCCCCCCCACCGCGCGGAAGGTGGCTGGTAGGCCCACCGCCTGCCGGGTTAGGCCACTTTCATACTCAATGATCAGTTCGCCTAATTATCCCATCATTTATTTGATTTTTCCCATCACTTGCTGAGCGGTGCGATAGCGAAGTGTATTTAATGCTGCGTCTCCTCACATGTCAGAGGGACTGACTGCATCTTACAACACTTCAGAACCCAATAGTATAGCTGCAATAACCATGCGGCAAAACGAATAACAGCTTACAGCTGTCATGAATGGTTAGGTGCTCATCGTGCCCAGACATTATAACACCAATTATATTTGATGTGGGCAATTACATGCAGTCATCCGAGAGCTAATGGCATACGATGGTGTTGATAACAGGTTGCAGTTTCAAGCGAAGATGAACTGGTGCTGCATTTTCACGCCCTCGAGTGATGAGGCTACATCTTAATCGTTCTGAGTAATTGTGAGGTTTAGTGGATCTTAAATATGCAGAGGATATAATATAATTTGAATTGGTAGGGTAAATTGACTGGGACACGAAGCTGTAAGAGACTTTTGTCACCTCTCAGCATGGACAACAACGACCCAGTTTTTGACGAATACCCATGCGTGCGTAACTTGTATCGTGAGTTTCCTATAATAGCCGTTTTCACGACGGCCATCTGGTACACATTTGGTGCACATCTGGTACAGATTAGGTGCAGATTTGGTCAAATCAGGGTCAGTGTTTCTCTTAGCAGCTGTCAGCTAGGGTTGCACTAATTGCTTATATGCCTGCTTTGTCATATTATCTGAGAGCATCATCGATTAACCCGGCGGCCGCTGGGCCTCCGCGCCACCCGCCGGCCACTGGGGGGGGGGGGCATATAGTTGCCCCCCCCCCCTTTACTTCTGCGACGATATCGTCGCAACGCGAAGAGATAGAGAAGCGGAACTTCGCATACATCTTCCTGAATACCTAGCCGAGGTTGTGTTCAAATTTGGTGTTGATCCCATTCGAAATGACGTCACAGTGACGTCATAAGTGAAATTATAGATTTGCGACTCTCATATTATTCACGATACATCAGATATATGGGACCGAATATAAAGGGCCGATTATTGGTCAGAAACTAGATGGAAGTGTAGTTAGATGTTTTAGGATGACAGCAGGTGCTGTCTAGTTCATTTACAGTTGAGTTTCATGCTCAGCGTCATCAGAAACGGTCCATATCGGAAAACGACAAAACTGTATGACGTCACTTTGACGTCATCTTAGGTGCCGCAACCACCAAACTTTCCTCAAACATTACCTAGGTATTCATTTGAAGCTATGCCAAGTTTCACGTTCGTAGCTCATCAGGTTTCGGAGATATTTCACAAAACGTAAAGGGGGGGGGGCAACCTTATGCCCCCCCCCCCAGCGGCTCGTGGGTTAAGACACTGAAATTAATACATAAAATGAAGATATTTGCTGTAAAAGAGACTAGGTGCAGATTTGGTCAAATCAGGTGCATTCGCCGGATGGCCCGTCGCGAAAACGGCTAATCTGTCTTTCTCGGGGACTCGACCTCATATTTCCCTGGAATTGACCCGCCTTCTTTTCCCTAACTCAACTCCCCAATGAACTAGCCTGGCCTCATCTTCCGCAGCATCTCTTTCCCAGCAGGGCTTGACCGGACATCGTCTTCCCAGCAGGGCCTGACTCGATCTCATCTTCCCCAGAATTGACCCGAGCCTCTCTTTTGCAGGGTCTGAACGAGAGGGAGATGAACAGCCTCCACAAGCGAATCCCTGGTCTGCGGCGCCATGATCCCAAGACGTCCACCATTCGACAACACTACTACCCCGAGGGTGGCTGGGGCTGGGTCATCTGCGCCTGCGCCTTCCTCGTCCACCTAGTCATCGCCGGCCTCCAGCTTAGCTACGGGGTGCTACTGCTGCACCTGCTGGCAGAATGGGGACGAGAAAACTACATGGAAGCAGGTGAGATCACGACGGATGCGTGGTGACGGTGGCAGTTTCGTTGAAGTTGACGTTGATGTTAACATTGACGTTGACGGCGGCGGTGACGACGACGGTGTCCCATGACATTCACCGTGGGTTCCCTGTTTCAATGACGACAAGGCGACCACCAGTGATTTTGGCAGGGTCCTTTCCTGGTTATCTGATATTCCGGGCATATCGTTATCATATCGTTTGCATATCGGCCCCGGTATCTAAACGGAGCCGACGTTACGCGCTGCATCAATGTCCAGTGGCGCAAGGCCGGTCAGTATTATAGTCATTCCTCATTAATGTCCAGCCTACTGAGCTGTGCTAGGAATGCGGCGGCAAAGCTGTTCCCAAATGTGCGAGATAATGTCGTGGAATATTTTGAATTGCGTACGCGGTTATACTATCTACCGCAGAATGAATTTCAGACAGCCGAACTATCTCCCGTATCGCGTAATTCGTGGCATATATGCTGGTGTTCGGTGTTCAAGCCACAGCTGTTCAAAGAACAGCGTAGGCGCTTCCGATGTATAGGGCGTACCCGGCGGACTGGGCAGGGCCGGCCGAGCCGCTCTGATTAGTAAGTGTCACTATCAGCTCTGTAATCGACCATACGATTAGAGTGCGCAGTGGCCGCCCTCCCTCCCACCTCCACTTCCCAGTGACCCACCCACCCCGTCCCGGCCCAGCACTCCGGTGACTGAACTCGGGCACGTTACACCTACCCTCCTGGCACGCGGCGTGTGCTCATAGGGATCCCATGTAGGGCCGCGCCGAGCGTGACTGGCGATCCTCCGGTCACGAACCAAAGCGAGCAGGTCGAGATGAATGTCAGCGATGGCGGTGAAAATAATGGTGTGGAGAGCCAGTGGAGCCGAGCAGAGCGTAAGAAATGGGCGGTTATCAAGGTAACAAGCAGCTATCGACTATATTGTGAGCCCCGGTTTATATCGAGCAATTTCATGATGCATCTGAAAGGTGCAAACTGCAAGCACGTTTTGGGAGTCACGCTATACGCTTAGGGCTAGGTAGATATGCAATTGCATGCCTGACTAAAATATGATGTTTGATGCCTTTCTTGTGTTGGCGAATGAGCCTGTGCTAAGTTTTTTTTTCATCAATTTTAAAGAGCTAAAAACGTTGTCAGAAAAAATGCGTACTTTGATAACAAGCTATGAGCCACTGAGATGTATGGAGCAAAGACAATCAAACTGACACGAGGGTAATGAATGAGAACAATTAGTATGAAATAGGGACTCCATGACGTCGGATAGCTGTCATGTTTGTCATATGAATGATTTGTTTGCCAACTGGGATAGCCAATAACAATAGCTAAATATATTTTGAATTTGCGTCACTCTCGATGTCGATATATCATTTAACTATAACACAAAAGCTGCAACAGAGAAGGAGACGCAGCGTGAGTGTGACGGTGATGTAGAATCAAAAAGACAAGAGAAGGTACTTATGAGATGTTAATAGTTTTATACAGGCAACCCTTTCAAACAAGCAAATATCATTCAACTAATAATTACGTAGATGAATCGAACGAAAGGCAGTCAGCGGAAGGCAGTGTTGTTTGTTGACAGCGATCCTTCAATGCCTGAAGTCTTGGCGTGATACTTTTGTCACATGCCATGCTCACTTTATTCAGTGTCGCTCAGCTCCATTCAGTTTCGGTGAAGGACGCGGGGTGCGCCGGACCGCCCTGCTCGTGCCGTCGGCAGCGATTTCCCGCTCGGCCGTCTCCGGGTGCTCGCTCCGATCACTGATCGAACGTCGCTGCCCGAGTCATTTCCCCGTCAGCAATAGCCACTGAGCTAATGGTCTTCATCCCCGCGGGGCACATTAATTTGGTTATTTACTTTGTGCTTGGAGAATGGCTGAGCGCTGCGCAGTGTCCGTGCTGCTGCTGCGATGTGACCATCATCGACTGTGCTCAGATGCATAGATAACGGGACCTTTGTAGAACCATCCTGCAAGGTCAGTCGTTTGCCAGACGCAATGATGGTGCCGCTGGGCGTGCAACCCCCACCCCCACCCCACCCAGAGTCGTCGTCTATCCCTCTGACCTACCCCGCCCCTCCCACCCCTCCCCATCCTCCTTCCTCGGGAGATAAATACCTCAGGGGGAGGCATAAATACATCTGGCCATGACAAATAGTGGTCGTCTGTCCTGCGCGGGCGTCGCCGCAGCCACTGGAGTGGTGCTCGGGATGAGAGGCACCGGGGCTGCAGGAATGCGGTGCAGCGGAGGAGGTGACACTTGGAGATGACACCGCCGGGTGACACGTCACGCGGACACCCCCCGGTGTCACAGCCAGGTGACACTCGGGTGTCAGCACTGAGGTAGACCAGCTGCTATCTGATTCAAAACCAGGGATGCTGCAATATGAATGGATCTATGAATGACACGCAGCCTAGGTCTCATTCCAGCAGAATTCATCATCAGTCAGTGCGGGAAAAATTTTGCTCAAACTTTTTGAAGCTAGTTTGTTCATGTCTTTGTACTCTGAAAAGCATTTTTTATATGCCGGAAGATGTACGCAGACGGTTTCAACAGCCTAAAATCGACCGAGCGCCACTTGGGGCTGATAAATTCCGCAGAAGGTCGGACCAGTCGCTTTCAGAGCGTCGTCGTAAATAAAGTGGCATTGTGAAATGAAGCGTCCGCTGAATTCGATGGTTGATATTTTCCGTTTTGCGATAAATCAAACATTTGTCTAAAATAGAGTCAGTGTATATGATTATGGATTATCTCTTTCGCTTCGTTTGATATTCATCCTTTGGTTTATTGAGCAATCTTATCCACATATGCATATCAGGTATTTATAAACACGAATTCAGAATGGAGCATGTGCATCGATGTGTTATTTTTCAGTCACTTAGTTTCTTTAGCAGCTGCTTGGCTATAATATCTCATAGTTATCTGGGAGCTGTTTTTACATTACCTACCTGTTTTTTTTTCAAAATGTTCCAGCCTCATTTCCTCCACTTATTGATATGAACACAGTTTGGTCGCCTCCACAATTTTCACATCAAATTAAAGTTTATGTCTGAGATGGGACTGTGAAAGCAGGTTATTCTGAAACCAGGAGATCAGCACATCCATTTCTAACATTTCTCCAAAACCTGTTTGAGGTCGTGACATCATTTCACTCGACTGGCATATGAGTGACAAGAGATTGGGCCATGTCTGGACGCCAGATGCCAGAGCACGTCAAAATCTCGGACAAAATCTAATTGAAAAACTATAACCATCACCGATCTTTTCTGGGTGCGCTTCCACGTCCGTTTTAGGTGTATTTTGATAATAGTTGAGATGATCGCTAGGAATCCTCTTTTCTTTTGATCATTAAAAAACATTTTTTTTTACAAATAATCATAAGATTAAACATAGCGATCTGATAACCAATGTTTGAACACCACTCATCAAACGACCACCGACGATCAGGCGACCGATCAGGCGACGCGACAAACATCTACGTTCCTCCATAACGTCGCTTTTTTTCTCCTGAAAACACGTCTTACACTTCACTAATGCGGTGAAATTGCTTCCACTAATTGCCTAGTGGCCAGGAGCTGCTCAGCAAAAACGGTGCGGCTGAGCCGAAACAGACTCGCCCAGTGCGTCAGCCTCTTCAGATGTCGGCAAAACCTGCAGGAGGAGGTGCCGGTGCAGTCGCTTGTCGGACCGACCAGGCGCCTGCAGATGTCTGCGGGTGTCGGCCGGATGTCAGCGGCTGTCGGCCGGATGTCAGCTGGATGTTGGGCTGATGTCGGCAGGATGTTGGGCTGATGTCGGCGTTGAATGTCAACTGGGCATTAGAAAGATGACAAACTTGACTGGATATCTGTTGGATGTTTATACCAGTATGCTTGTGTGTGTGGTTACCCGTCGAATGTCAACTGGGTACTCGGAGTTAGTTTGGAAGATGTCAAGCGTACTGGATCGACTTCGGCATGATAAGGCAAATAATATGTCGACATCCGCCTTCGGCCCTTGCATTTGGTGCCGAATGGCCTGCCAGCATCGTCCGCATTGCTGACGCAATCCAAAAGAAGTTGTCTGCAGTTCATGGCGGCATTTTGTGAGCCATTTCACATATTTCGCCGTGCTGACATCTCTGCAGTGGACGGTCGTCGCTGCCCGTCGTCGTCGACGATCGCTGCCGTAGCCGTCGACGATCGGTGCCAGACAGGCAGGCGTCTCGACATCGCGCCCCAGTGTCTCGTCTGACCTCTTCCGGTGATGGTTAGGTCGATTGTTCCGGGTCCAATGGTCAAAAGTCTGGCTTGTGTCACTTCAGCAGGACAGGGTCTGTTTCAGCTGTGGGGCATTCGCCTAGCGGTGCTGGCGGTGACGTCGAACTTCCAGAAATAACCAGTCCACCCTTCGTCCTCACTTCCCTTCTCAAAAGGTTCCAAAGTCGCTTGTTGATCTTTTGCAAATGGTCTTCAAAGAAAATTTGTCTATCAGCCTGTATGTAAGTACCTGCAACCATTAGTGGTAAGTATGTAACTGTACATGTCCCGGGACCGTCTTTTAGGTCCAACTCCGACTATCCTCTCCTGATCACTCTTGCCAACTGCTGCCTATCCTCTTCTCATCAGTCTCAGCCAAATGCACAGTGTGTGCCGATTGCGTATGCGCAGCGTATGATCTAGCACCCGGTGCCGAGGAAGCTCACCGTCTTCGACAGCTCTCACTGCAGCGCGCGCCTGCGCGCCGCTATGATGAAATGTGAGTTATTATCGGTGTTTTTGCCGTGGCCTCCTCGCCTCGGCCCGCGCGCCTCTCACCGGCAGTCGTGAATGTATCGACATTAGGCACGGATTAATGAAGTGGGCACGTAAAAACGAGCTATCGTGTCAGCCCAGATGAGCTCGCGCCGTCTGAGTACCATTCCGATGGAGGTGTATTGGTCGTCAAAGGATGACTGCGGGCCAGCGAGCCGATTCGGCGAAACGTTAAGCGACATTTACGATCT